TATTGTCGAACAAACATCTTATATCTCCAATAATTATAAATATGTGCTGTTACGATTTGAAACCAAACACTTCCAGTCTAGTCGAATCTATACCATCTAAAGTATTTTATAAAAAAAATAATACCATTTGTATTAAAATACCGCATAAGATACGCAACTTGAATGATTAAATTTGAACAGAGAACCGGTCGAGTTAAAAAAAAGAAAAAAAAACGTTTAGGCTTACAAATATAGATAGAAGAGCGTGCAGTGACCTTGTTGACCTCTTCTTTTGAGAAGAAAGAACAGAAATGGTGTTACTAAATCTAAGCTACCTTTCTTTTGGAAATCGTATAGTATAACAATAGTTTATGTTTTGGTTTAGGGAACTATATCGCAAATTATACGAACCCTTTTTTATATTGAGTGATTCACTCTTAATTACTTATATCGTACTTTTGTGATCGAAATTTTATTTGAGAACCCATTATGAATTCCTAAATTATGTCCCATAAGAATCCAATATCGGGACCAATTCTTTATATTACCATGTTGACACTGTTTATGGCGTGAATGAAGTAAAACAATATATATTTAAAATGTATCTGGTAATTCAAGAACTTTAATGAAAATGAGTGTAAATTATGTCAAATACTTCAGTGACATTGTTTAAAACAGTCGAAATCCCATCTTTTTGTTTTACAGCGTGTGTAGATGTATTCGAAATATAATTTGATTTGAAAATAACAAAGTATCTAACTTCCACCTCACCTTACTATCATACTATAAAAAAAATTCACTAAAAACTTTTTCTTTTCTTTACTAAATACATTCAAAAACAAGACGAGTAGAAAAACAAAAAGATAAGTTTTTACAGATATAAAAATTATCAGTGGCGTTACAGTAAAGATCAAAAAGCTTATAATTACTTGATTAGATTGAGATAAACGTTTGACAAATCTTTTATGACTGTTTTATTATTCGCAGAGTTATCATTTTTTTAATCTGTATCATTTCAAGGACTGTTCTTACATTTTCAAAATCGAATGCGTGCAAGTTTTGTTAGAGCAGCAGATTTTTCATTATTAGTTAAAATATTATTTTTGTGGTTTTTTATTCTTTTGTGTAAATATGGTTCTGTTTGATCCGTGTTAGAGGGGAGGCTCATATTTTTTTTTCTGCCTAACATACTCGATTCACTTGGTATAAATGCTCGTCGAAAGATTTCTAAGAATTTGAAACATTCCGTTGCGGTGCTCAAGAGAAGTGAACACCGAATATATACCGCTAACAACAAAAAATTTAAAGTCCTTACGAGAACGGCAAGACGACGATGATGAAGAAGAAGAAGCAACGGCAGCAGAAGAACACGAAGTCTACGAAGATTGATGGCCGCGACGGGCTTGTGTAACTCAGGGAGCCCAACAAACCCGTTTTTACTTTTTTCACGAGGCGGTCCTCACAAAAAAATGCACGAAACTGCTGCCCGTGGCCATGGCTCACTGACGACCATGATGGGTCTGTGTTTCTCTGCACTTCTGATAGTTGGATGGTATGCGCTTGTGTGCAATTTAGGTCTAACGTTTAAAATAATAAAAAGTGGAAGACTAAAATCTTATAGAAAACTCTAATAGTACAAACTGAGCTGACTTTAAATACGGTTGATACACTTATTTTTGATCTAACCACTGCTTTTCGTGACTTTTTTCTACTATTAATGATGGCGATGTATTGGAATTAATTATTTTGTAAATGTAAATTAATTCATATTTATTAAATGATAACTTGCACATTAATGACCACAAGTCAGAACTCATGCCTCCACCAAATGAGAACCGTTATACATTTACATTAGATAATTCAATTTCAAAGTTTAGTGCCGGATTATGCACAATGTAAAGGTATACTTCAAATTGTGTTAACACTACTGGCTGACTTTCCTTCTAATATTGCAGATCACTGTTTAATTGCTAAACATATGGCAATAAAATACAAGATTAAAAAAAGCCTATCGTTGCAGCTCATTCACTTTAACTATGTCAAAATACAATTTTTCACACCCATCAGTATTCTATCGATCCCTTTTACACCCTCTCATGAGACCACCAACGTCGAAAACACTAACAAAAGACTGCGAAGAACATGGCGGAGTCGTCGGATTGAAAGGAAAGGATGGTATACTCGGTTTGGTTTTGTGTAGTATAGCCCTGCATCTCGATATATCTATCTATTCATTTATAATTTTATAGGCTCGTGCCATCTGTGTCCACAGCTGTTTGAATTTGAGGCTGGTCTGCCAGCCAGTCGGTGATGTCTGGATTTTCTGAATGTAAAGTGTAAAAAGTTTAAGTATATTTAATTATTATCAGATATTAAATTATTATTCTTATAAATAAATCAGGGAGGAGGAATGTATCTTATTATCCTACTATATTGTTTTGTTATAGTCCTAGCTACTTAATTTTTCATAAGAAATTACTTTCTGTATCTAAGACGACAGATATTTAGTTAAAACACCGTCATGATGTTTTCAGAGTCTTTTGCAGGATTAAAGTCTAGATATTCTACTAGTAACGGTCTTATGACATAGTCTTGAGGGACACCCCACGCCCCTGATTAATTCCGTTTTGTTCTTTTGATAAAATTTATCTGACCTTCTCGGCTGATGAAGTATACGTGACATTTTTTGAAGACTGTCAAAATGCTTCCGCTGTTTAAATCGCCATTTTAAGTCTAGAAAAAACATACTTGATCATTGTCAAAAAACGCTAGGGTACGCTACTAGTCGAGTCCCGTGTACCATAAAATTTTCCTCGTATAAGCTACACAATCTTAGTCCCTCAAATTATTCTGGTGAATAGACTTCTAAGTCATGGTTCTTTAGGCCCCTTATTACGTCGTTGTAGACGTCTCTAAATTAGTGGACTGATTATGATTTTCCATTGGTCTTGTGTTACAATTTTAAATAGTAAATTTATCATTGCCGTATACAGAAAGACTTTGTTTCCCAAGTATAAATGTGACCTCAGATCAATTTTCTTCTTCATTTGTCACCATATTATCTCTTAAATTCTGTTTTTGTATTTTGATGTAAGTATTCCCAAATAACGTACTGGGTACTGATGATGATTCCGAAGATATTATTGATGGTTTTTAGAATACATTGACCCTTTTTCAAGGTAATCGCTATTTGTGTCTTTTATCCTTATCTTACATATTTGTATTAGGATATTTGGCATGGGTGTGTTATTTAATCAGTTCTGTCACTGGCTGGAAGTATCGGATGCAAAACAGTTTAAACGTTTGTCTTCCTATCAAGCTAATTCGTAATATCCGGAATTATTTTTACTGCAATTAGACCGAATTGCTATTTGTATTATCTATTTCTTCCTAAATATATTTAAAAAAGAAACTAATACATATTAAAATAGATCTTATTTGGCGTATTTTCATCACGAGCATCAACCTTGTTCTTGAAATTGTAGATATGTAACTGTATCACATCACTTATGCCTTACTAGGCCCATTGTGCATACTCTAGGAGCATATAGGACCTGCCTCTCAGCTTGTCAAAAAAGCCTGCTTCAGAAGAACCTACAAACTAAATTGTAGTTTTCAAAATATGTTTACATGTTTACAAATAAAGTTGTTCCGGAGCTAAAATCTTCGTAGTCATCATCATTACTTTTATCTTATTGCAATATTTGTCTTTGGATATGATGGCGTTGGCTGGGTTTTTTCGAGCTTTCCTCGCTTGTCAATTATAATTATAATTGCCCTTGATCACAATTATAATAACTATATCTTCCTTTCACAAGCTTTGCTTCCAGACGTTCACCCGTATGTGGGTGAATTGTAGGGAGAGTCTTATTATTATTAGTATAAATATGTAGTGCTCAATTAAAACATAGTTTCTTTCTTAGCAATATGTCATAAGTTATTTCAAGACAACTGATTCTTCACAGCAGGCGTAGAGTGTAATAAAATAGAACTAATAACAATCTTCTACTATTGTTGTAATATTTTTCTTTACAAGTGGTGACAAAAAAATCAATCCAGAAATCTGAAAAATAAATATCATTAAAACTATTCAGGGAGGACACACGTTGAACTAAACTAAAAAATTTGTGTTTTAAGGGTTTAAAGTTACAATAACAGTTTCCATGGAATGATACTTACCTACCTACCTACATTGAAACTAAACAGAACAACTCACATTTTACTTTTTGATTAAAACTTTCTATTTGTAATTGTCTTTGGCGCTATCTTTCGACAAACAGTTAATAAACCGATTAAACACTACTAATCCTTTCAAAATAGACATTATTTTAATGAATTGCATATAATTATATTAGTAAACCCACACACACCTCATTATTACACAATTATTTAAAATTCAAATGCATTAGATGGCTAAAACAAGAAACGTGTCGTAAGTATAGTCAGAAAGTTAAGGATGGATGCCAATCCAGTAATTTATGCGTTCATAACTTTTTTTATAAAACTTTAAAGACTGATAATTAAGTAGAATGGCATAGAAAACTATTAACACAAATGTCAACTGTCAAAAAATTGTTTACGGTCATGGTAATCGCTATAGGAATTTTAGTTGCCACAGAGCTTGACTAAAAATTCGAATATATATCACAGAATAGTGGAAAACTAGTTATATCTCTAATTTAGTTCTTAAATACAGCAGAAACAACCTTCGAAATTCTACAATCCTTCCAGTTACTTAACAAACCGTACTCAAACAAACAAAGAACTGGTAAATAAAGAACTACCGACAATCGTGAGATGAATGTAAACAAATAAATAAATAATAAAGTCAATGACTTCAAGTAAATACGTAATCGCGAAGCATTAAAAAAAACAGTACACCACTTTCAATTTCGATTATTCGGTTAAGGTAAAGGCCAAGGCAGGAAGGAGTGTCACATTGAACCATTGCAAAATCGCCAAAAACGTTTTTCTGAATGAAACGTACAGTTTGTTGAAGGTAATATTGCAGTTAAACGTACCTGTCAGAAGATTCCGAGCTGTCGTATCTGTCAACACATCTCTTTTTCCTGCAATCTTCCTCTATAATTCCTTGATGTTTGGTACACACATTATCATTACCGAATATCGCACAACTCTCACTCTCGCTCACTTTGTCACATACGTCATCTTTCAGACCGTCCATCGTCTCACAAAGGACGGCATTATCGTAAACGTTCAATACAGTTTGGTCGATTACATCTCCGCTCGGATCATCCGTGCACAAGCCGTCTGCCATTTTGAGAACACACTATCGCAGTCGCATACGACTGAGGACGGTGCGATCGGGTGCGCCTGTGCTCGACGTGGGGTCAAAGGAGGCCTTGCAACGTGACGTCACAGCCCCTTCTCGACGCGGTGCATACGGTCATTTAACGGTTGCCATATTTACGCTTTTTTCCGGAGCATCTAGGACTTGTTACGTTAACCCTTTAACGGACAAGAATCTGGAGGATTTTTAATCAACATTTTTACTGATGCCCACCTATCTTTGGGGCCGCAATTATAACAGTCAACTATTCTAAAGATCCTGACAGGTATTTAACTACTGTTATCAATATACACCAGCCAAAGGGTCCTGGAAGGAACTTTTATTCACCAGTGGCAAATAAAAATAATAACTACTTAAAAAAAATGATCCTTTAATAGCAAAGGCGAGAAAAATGATCCTTTAATAGCAAAGGCGAGCGGCTATGTCCTTAGGGGTAGAAACGCCAAGGCTTTACAAATGCTTGAAATATATCATAACTGGTATTAGAAAAAGGGACGGAGTGAATAATAATAAAAAATGATTAAACAGTAACATATGTATATTTAAAATAATTACTAAATGACTGACTAATAGACTTAATAATAAATTTATGTTTAGAGAACAAAGTATTATTTGATAATAGGTCCAAACTTTTTGATAACAACTGAAATAATAATTATAATGCACAACTAATTAATTTTGACAGGCAAAGAACTTCCTATTGAATTATATGTTTTGGATTAATTAACAAATCATTGAATAATTAAATTATATAATAATATAATAAATATAAGATATATAAACTTGGGACGAAAATGTTATTAAAACAAAAAAATTGACAGCTATATGGAATCAATTAATTGTCTCAAAATAAAACCAAACAACTCTTTTAAAACATGTTAAAATAATTAGACACAAATCGCTGTAGAAAACTTTATTTTATAAATCTGCGGGAAGGAACCGTCTCTACCTTTCGGCAAGAGTTTCGGACGGCAGTGCTGTCAAATGTCGACAGTCTATTTAAACCCAATAATTAATATTTATCAACGTATTACTTTGGGTAATTCTTTAATTCAATGTAAGTCACTGACTAGTGTAATAACCTAATTGTTTGTTTGGTTTATTTCAATACGTATGTTTACAATTTGAATATTTAGAGAAAGAAAATAAGAAAAATAAACAACCAAGTTAATATTGAAAATAAATCAGATGAAAATATTAACATTTAAATAATGTCATGCTAGTTATTTTCGATCAGTCCGGTCCTGCTCTATGTTTTCGTTATCAACTGTCGAGGCAGCTATCCAATCTGCTACAAGAGAAGCGCTAGTTCAGTGTGATGTCATTTTGGTTCCACTGACATTTAATTCTAACCAAACTTTTAACAAAAACATCAATAAATTTGACATAGACGTTTTTACTGTTTTTATTTTATTTCAAAATATTGTTTACAGGTCATAAAAAAATAGTTTAAAGGTATGTAATTGGTAACTAAACGATTGTATATTTGACGCATGTTATCTACTTACTTTAGGAATATATTTATAAAAGTGAAAAAACGATATAATGTAGGTAAACAAAACAAACAAAACGCACTCAAAAAATCTACTGTCACTTTAATTGTCAGTGGAACCATAATTACATCATCACTGAACTAGCGCAATGGTGTACGTGTCAAAGCGCATCTAGAATCTTCAGGACAGGTCTGGAGCCTAACATTTGAGTATATAAGTATGACTGTTGTGCCATTTAGTGAATATATTGTGTTAAGATAAATGAAAGTTAAATATTGTTAATATAAATTAGCATATATGTGTTTGAGTTATAAATAGAGTGCAGTTTTGATTACAAATAAATTTAGTTAATATGTATTAAAATAAATAAATGTTACAATAATTTTGTTTTCTGAAGTGTATATACTTCCTATATTTCTACAAGGTCATTTTTTAGTTTTTTAACTTGTTTGTATTAAAATATAAAATAGCTATAAAAAAAATTGATATACTTACACATCGCAAACATAATTTGAATAAAATTTTTGAATGTGAATATGTCTAAGCAAGATAATAATTTTAATTCATATATTTTAGTATTGTATACTTTTAATAAATATTTATAATTATATATTTGTCTTTATAAACAGATAGTAGAAATAAAACATTGGTAGTTTATCAACGTTTAAAAGAATTCATTTACTTCTAAACTGGCATTAAAACGTCCATTGTTATAATTTCCGATAGTTTATATTTAAAACCACGCCTCTTTTTCTCAAGGCAACGGAATGAGAGCACTAAAGCGGTTGCAGTAGTGATTCGATTCATTCGGTTCACACCTACCGACATTGTGTAGAACAGTAGTCAGGGAGGGAGTGTCTAAATATTATAAAACCAAGTATAATGCAGCGTTTAGAGGTGTTTTTTTATTTATACTATTCTTATAACAATTTTGCGACGAGGTGTTCCAGATTTAAACGAACGTACCTTAACGGGTGGTAAAAAGACAAAAAACTGTCACCCAATGTATTATTTAGAGATGTGTGGAACTGGTCCCAGGCGGGATACGTTTGATCACCTATTGACTATGTTTGACAACCTAGTAAATTTTTTGACCACTCTTAAAAACAGATATATTTAAAAAACTTTAAAGTTGAATGCCTGCTTGCTCCCCGAAGTTTATATCATTATGAAAAATATCGAATTTTGATGGAAAAAATGGAAAATTAACATAAGGGCACAATAAAAATTTATAATGGTTTAGAATTATGTTTCAACATTTGATCACCCCCTAAAATACAACTGAATCTTAGATTTATTTGCTTTCTTTGACTGCCATCTCTTATTTTTTTCTAATGTTTGCCCAACGCTACCTGAAAACACTTTTTTAACACGCATAATCCTGACTATCCGGAACTTCTGCTAGAATAAACGTATAATTTTGAACTATATTATCTATAATTTATAACAACATGTTCTATTTTCTAACGATCCCTCGTACAATTTATACGTTGTTCGTATACGCTCGTAAATCGTAAATCCATCGAATCACACCTCGCAAGATCCGACTTGTCGGTGAATCACACTTATGATAGGAGATCGGATGAGGTTTTTTTTTTCGGTGGCATCCATCGAGCATGATCGAATACTTGGCAATAGCAAAAACTAAACGAAAACACTTTCAGTGTTATTTAGTGCGAACGATCGTTGAAATGAGAATCATCGAGATCGAGATCTGTTTCGCTGTAAAGTTACAAATAAGTCTCTTGCGATGTCATTTACCCGCAACAATTATGCAATTGATATTATTTGGTGTAAGCGCAGTAAGCGGAGCGACTAATGAAAGCGTATGCGCAGCGGTGTTGCCAGATCTCCTATTTTTTTCGTCGGTTTTTTGTAGTTTGTTCCCAAATTTAACTTTAACAAAAAGAAGAAAAAAAGAGACTTGAGTAAGGGCTGCTGGCCGAAATTCTTGCCGACCAGAGTCATGGAAGTCATTCTTAGTCTCACTCCTCTTTATATTTACATCAAGGAGGTGGTACACCGATGGTTCTAAAACAAAACAAGGCTCAGGATTTGGAATATACTCCAGATCCTTAAACCTAAACATAAAATGGGCTGTGAGTAGTAGCGTCAGTGTAGTTTAAACCGAGCTCACGGTGATTTTCATAGCAGCAAAAAAATCAGAAAACATCACTGAAACAAACATGCTCCTCTATAGAGATAGTAGACAAGCACTACTCGCCCTGGACAAACCACGAATTTACCCAGGATTAGAACTAGAATGTCACTAAACTATGGCCGAACCATTGTTTAAAGAGTAGAGATAGTTAGTCAGCGCCTGTATAAATTCTGTTTGACTACCTCTTGCACCCTCCAGGCATAAGGAGATGGTGCCCTACTGGTGGAGAGAAGCCGAAACAGTTAATTGATCTGTTTAAAAGTAGAAATTTATCTTTATACAATAAAGGGTACCCAAAATATTCTTTTAGTTGCCATGTTGGAAAGGATACGGAGTAAGAGAATAAGTTTCTATGACTTGTTACGAGGGGTAGTGAAAATGTTAAATCAAAATAACAGTCTACCGATATATTTTGCAATGTATTTTATTTACACGATTTTTAAGATAAAAACGCATAAATAATTACACACTACAGTATCCATAAATAAAAATAATTTAATACCCTAATTATTATAGTAAGTACAAAGAGGCAATAATATCTATCATCAAACGACAAAAAAAAACAAGAAAAATAACAAAGCAATAACGGTTATCAGATAAATTTAGCGATACCACAGAGAACTGAATTTTGAGAACCATTTGTGTTTTTAAAATGTTTATTAAAAAGTGGGTTTACTATTAAAGTTGAAACATTTAAAACCAGCACAAGCCAAAATGTTTTAATAAATAGAACGATTGAAATGAAACAATTTATATGAGCTTTTATTGTTAATGACGTATTTGTCAAAACTTTTTATATGTTTTAGAAGTTAGTTTTGGTTATATTATAGTAAAATTAACTTATAGATCTTTAGATCCCTCTATCGTTTACTTGGAATTTGTAATTCATAATAATAACAATATTAAAGTTTCTGATAGCAGGAAATGGAATATCAGTTGTCAGTTTTAAGAGAATTTTTATTTGGGTGCGATATAAAAATAGTTATTTGAAAGATAAAATTAACTTATTTATTGATTCTGAAGTAGAGACAGTTTTATATTGGGTTTTTAGTGTTGCTTATGTTTTTCCAATTTCGTCATAAATTTTTACAGTATTTATAAATTTGTACTTTAATTTATAAATTTAGGATATACAATATGTGTTTTTCCCCATTTTGGTTACACTTGAACCATTCCGGCAAAAGAAACGTTAACTTTTTTTTAATAATTTCACGTTTATTGCTCAACACTTTCTGATAAGCAAATTGGTCAATATTAACTGAAACTAGATATAAACATATATTTGTAAATTTTTTCATTACTTTAGTGGGAGTTTTCAACCCATTTAATTGATCTAAATTATAGTTTTTATAAAAAATAAGAAG